CCCCCAGGGGTCTCAGCTGCCACCTGCAGGAGGCGAGGGGCGGGGGCTGCAGGCAGAAGAGAGGCCACCTGAGCCGGGCCAGGCTGGAGGCCAGGTGGTGAGGCCAGGACAGGGGGCGGGACTGGCCCATTCCACACATCCCACGTGGGCTCAGGGGCAAGTGCCGGGTGGCCAGGAGAGCCTGGTCACTGCCACCCCCATCCCTGTTGGGAGTGGAGGCAGGGAAGCCAGGTGGGCAGGGCAGAGGTGTGACAGGCATGGGGGGGGGCGCTGTGGGTGCTGGGAAGGCAGAGCCGATGGGTTTCACTGCTGACGGCGGAACCTGGGGTGCCAAGAAGGGAGTAGCCGGAGCAGGGTGGGGTGGGGGTGTTGCTGCTGTGGGGAAGGAGCTTTCTCCTGAGCCGAGGGACCAGCACAGGAGGGCAGTGTCTGTGAAACAGGTGACACCAGAGGGGCTGCAGGTGGCTCACTGCAAGGGCTGTGTGGAGCAGGTTCAAGGCCAGCATCGCTCTTGCCACCGGAGCTCCGCGCCAAGGGAAGATGGTTGTTTTTTTTTTTTTTTTGTCTTTTAATTGAAATACACCTACAGGAAACAAACGTAATGTCCCATGTGGTCGCACCCAGGTCAAGGCAGGACGTGGCCGGCACCCGAAGCCCTCTGGCAAACTTCCGCATGTGCACAGCCACCGCCCCGACTGCTAACTCCGTGGTTTCCCTGCGTTTGCACCTTTCTCTGCTGGTGGCATCACGTGGGACAGTCTGGGGCCTGGGTCCCTTCGTGGTGCCTGCAGCTCTGTGTTGCTGTCTCGCTGTGCACGCCAACAGGTTCTACCCATCTTTTCCCTCTTCAGAGTTCCCCGGGCCATTTCCACGTTGGGCTGTCCCAGACAGCATCGCAATGAACATTCTAGAACATGACTTCTGCTGGGTACGCACCTCAGAACGGAATCCCGCCTCACCACCGAGGCACGTTTGGCTGTACAGCAGCTTTGACACAGTGTCCCAGTGGTGTATCCTGTCCCCACAGGTGGGAGCTCTGGTTGCTCCTTATCTTCACACTCCATGATTCATGAGCCCCTTTTAGGTGCTACTGGCCCCTGGGGGGCCCTCTTTTGCAAAGTGCCTGTTCCAGTCTTCTGCCCCTCTGTCTGGGTCTTCTGTCTTCCTGATGGTTAGGAATCCTCCTCTATCTACTGTGGACTTTTTGTGTGCTAAGGTCTTCTTCACTCCGTGGCTCGTCCTTTCCTCCCTTACCAGCCAGGAGGGCTCAGGGGACTTTAGACCACTTACAAACATCCACCAGGCTTCCCCCCACGGCATGCTCGACGGGCAAGTGGGTGAATGACAGATCCTGGGCCCCAGCTCCCCGGGAATGCTGCCTTGCAACCCCGTTGGCAGACGCTCTACAGAAGTTCCAGAACAGCACTGTCAATAGCTAAGCCAGCTGTTTCTGGAACATGTCCCACATTGAAGTCGGGCAGGTGCCGTGGTGCACACCTGTAATCCCAAGACTTGGGAGCTGAGGCAGGAGAATTGCAAGTTCAAAGCCAGCTTCAGCAACTTAGTAAGACCTTGTCCCCAAAAGGGCTGGGGGTGTATCTCAGTGGGAAAGTGCTTTTGGGTTCAATCTCCGAGAGAGAGAGAGAGAGAGAGAGAGAGAGAGAGAGAGAGAGAGAGAGAGAGAGAGAGGACCTATCCTGGTGAGAGGGATGACTGTTACCCACATTCCTTCTAGCAGGAGTGAGGGGCTGGGGGGGTCCTTGGAACCCAGCTCTTGCCGGATCCAGGCAGCCAGCAGTCAGGAGAAGCCCCGCTCCCCCTGCCTCGGGAGGTGGTAGGGCCATCAGGAGCCCTGGCATTGATTGACAGCTGGAGCCAGAGCCAGGGTCCAGCATGATGCCTAATGCCTGGGACCATCAGGTGAGTGCTGATGGCCCACAGTGACCAGCTGGTTCCAAGCACTGGCTGTCCACTCCACTGCTGGACAGATACCAGTTCCACAGTCCTTGACCAGCAAGGTCAAGGGCAGCTGCAGGGATCCACTGGGCTCAGGGGACAGCCCGCACTGCTGTGCTTCCTGGGTGGACCTAGCCCCTCTCGGGCTCCCTCAGCACCTGAGCAGCTGGACCTGGCTTGGGGAGAGCCTAAGGCTGCTGACGGGGCTGACCCATAGACCTGGGGCCCATAGGTCCCCAGGAGTCCCATTCCTTTCCATGTCTGCTCCCTCACCAACTCACTCCCTGTGACCATCCCCCACCTGCAGACATGTCTCTCCCCACATGGCCCTGCCCCCTCATCCCTGAGGAATATAAAACCAAAGCCACGTCTACCACTTGCCACAGCCTCCCCACTGCCCACCACCCACCTCCCACCACTCACCTCCTAACCACCCAGCTCCCCACCGCCCACCTCCTACCACCCAGTTCCCCACCTCCTACCTCCCCACCTCCCACCTCCCACCACCCATCTCCTACCACCCACCTCCTACCCACTCAGCTCCCCACCACCCACCTCCCCACCTCCCACCACCCACCACCCACCTTCCCACCTCCCATCTCCCCACCTCCCTACCGCCCACCACCCACCTCCCACCTCCCTCCACCCACCGCCCACCACCCACCTCCCACCACCCAGTTCCCTACCTCCTACCCCCCTCCACCCACCTCCCACCACCCACCTCCCACCTCCACCTCCCACCACCCAGCTCCCCACCTCCTACAACCCACCTCCCACCACCAACCTTTCACCACCCACCTCCTAACCACCCAGCTCCCTACCACCCAGCTCCCACCACTCTCATCTCCTACCACCCACCACCCACTCCCACCACTCACTTCCCACCTCCCTCCACCCACCTCCCCAACTCCCACCTCCCCACCACCCATCTCCTATCACCCACCTCCTAACCACTCAGCTCCCCACCACCCACCACCTACCTCCACCACTCACCTCCCACCACCCACCACCCACCACCCACCATCCACCTCCCACCACCCCCCTCCACCACTCCCCTCCCACCACCCACCATCCACCTCCCACCACCCACCCCCACCACTCACCCCCACCACCCACCACCACCTCCCACCCCCCACCTCCACCACTCACCTCCCACCACCCACCATCCACCTCCCACCACCCACCTCCACCACTCACCTCCCACCACCCACCATCCACCTCCCACCACCCACCTCCACCACTCACCTCCCACCACCCACCACCCACTATCCACCTCCCACCACCCACCTCCTAACCACCCACCACCCACCTCCACCACTCACCTCCTACCACCCACCTCCACCACTCACCTCCCACCACCCACCTCCCACCACTCACCTCCCACCACCCACCTCTACCACTCACCTCCCACCACTCACCTCCCACCACCCACCTCCACCACCCATCTCCCACCACTCACCTCCCACCACCCAGCTCCCACCACCCACCTCCACCACCCACCTCCACCACTCACCTCCCACCACCCAGCTCCCACCAGCCGCACGCGCAGCGCCTCCTGCCTGCCTCCCCATGTGCTGGCTCCCTCCTGCAGGCCGTCTGGGCCCTGGATCACCCTTTCCCTGTCAGGGCCACTCCTGGTCTTCTCCCTCTGGGCTGCACAGCTGGCCAGGCCACCAGGCAAACGTGCTGGACCATCTCCATCTCAAAACCCTTCCTGGGTGCCTGAGACCCTTCGCTCGCAGCCCTCAGGCTCTCCTTGGTAACCAAACTCCTCAAAGAAGGAATTTATTCTCGCGACCCCTCTTTTTGTTTTGGATACTGGGGACTGAACCCAGGGCTTCTCTACCTCTGAGCCACATCCCAGCCCTTATTTTTGGAGACAGGGTCTCACTAAGTTGCCCAGGCTGCCCTTGAACTTGGGGTCCTCCTGCTTCCGTCTCCCCAGCAGCTGGGATCCCTGCGTGGCCACCGTGGCCTTCTGAGGCTTCACCTACTTGTGGAATGTTTCCATCTTGGAAACAGTGCGAGTCCCAGTGACCTAACTGCCTCCCAGAGGCCCTGCCTCCTCACCCTGCACTCTGAGTGCCAGACTGCAGCAGGACCGGGGGGAGGAGGGCCTGTCAACGTTGAGCCCACAGGAGAGCAATGAAAGAGGGCGGCAGGGCTGGCCAGGGCTTTGCTCTCAGTCCCCAGCCTGTGGCCAGGCACCTGGAGAGCCCCAGGGGCTCTGTGGTTGGTTGACCCCCTAGGGCCCTGGGGCCAGGTGAGTGAGACACTCAGACCTACCCAGGAAGCCTGGGAGCCCCAGCGGGAGGGTCCACCCCAGCAGAGGTGGGGCTGGGAGGGCATGTTTGGGTGGTGCTGCTTGCTCAGGGCTCCGAGAAGACCCTCTAATTGGTCTCCAGGCCCAGCTCGAAATCTAGCTCCTCCTCCAGAGCCCTCACAGCCCAGCGGTGGGAGAGGACTCTTTCTTTTCTGTATCACTTGGATTTTTTAATGTGTAAGGAGGGTTTTGTAACTTGAAAGGGAGATTTAGTGACTTGAATCAGAATTAACAATCACCCTAGGTGCTTGGTGGGTGTGGTGGCACGTGCTTGTAATCCCAGCTGAGGCTCAGGCAGGAAGATCGCAAATTGGAAGCCAACCTTGGCGATTGAGGGAGACCCTGCCTCTGAAATAAATTAAAAGTGTTGGGGTGAACCTCAGTGGTAGAGTGCCTAGCATGGGTGAAGCCCAGGACTCCATCCCCAGCACTGAAAACCGAAAGAAAGAAAATTAATATATCCCCAGGTGTGGTGGCATACCAACAATTTGGGAGGCTGAAGTATGAGGATCACAAGTTCAAGGCCAGCCTCAGCAGTTTAGCCAGACCTTGTCTCAAAATTTAAAAAGGCTGAGGATGTAGCTCAGTGGGAAAACACCCCTGGGTCCAATCCCCAGTACAAAAAAACAAAAAAAAAAATTAAGTTGTTGTAAATATTAAAAACCTATTTTTTCTTGGACCTCGAAATCCGACTTGCAATCCAAATCCAACAAGTTTTGCACTCTTTTTATAAATCCAATTTTAATATTAACGTATGAATATTCACTTTCACTCACAGCTGTGTTAATTAACTCATAAATTTAAGATATTCATTCTAAACCAACATGGTGGTGCACGCCTGTGATCCCAGCGACTCAGAGGCTGAGGCAGGAGGATTGCAGGTTCAAAGCCAGCCTCAGCAATTTAGTGAGACCCTGTCTCAAAATAAAAAAAATAAAAAGAGCTGGGGATGTGACTCCGGGGTTAAATGCCTCTGGGTTCAATTTCCAATACCAATAAATAAATAAATGAAAGCTGTTCATCCCTCCCTGAGGCTTAACCACGGGACCTCCTAGCTAACACAGGGCCTCGGGAGCGTCCATCTAAAATCACGACTCCTGTGTTGCCCCATCCCCCAAGCCCCTGGCGGGTCACCTGCAGATCATCCTGGGAGTCCTTTCTGACACCTAAGCTGCTCCGGTGAGCCTGATAACTCAGGCCTGTGAAGGTGGTGACTCTGTGTCCCTGGGCCACCTCAAAGCCACACAGAGCAGCCTTCACTTTGCAGATGGTTGAGACCCAGGGCATCCCGGAAGCGACCACCTTCCTTCAGCCCGGGGGGGGCCTGCGGCACAGTCAGAGCAGCATTGTTTGGGTTGTTGGCTGGGATTGCAGGCCAGGACCCTGCACGCGCCTTCTTTCTGGGATGGTCTCTCCATTTCAACAATAAGACCCTTCCTGCGGGCAGTGGTGTCTCGGGCTTTCTCGAGATCGGGTGCTTTACAAAGAAGAGAAGTGTGTTTGGCTCAGGGTCCTGGAGCTGCGAGGTCCAAGAGCAGGGCCCGGCACCTGATGTGGCCTCCCACGGGACAAGGTGGAGCAAGCAGTGCCAGCTCAGGCCTCTTGTCCTCTCATAAAGCCGCTAATACCTCCCTGGGCCACCTCGGGACCTCATCCACCCCAGTTACCTCCCAAAGGCCATCTTCGAACACCACTGACCCGTGAAGGTGGGGATTCGGGTTCCAACATGTGAACATTCAAACCTCAGCAATGGCTGTGGTCCTCAGCAGGAGCCCAGGCCCTGGCCCTTCAGCCCCCCGGGGTCCGGGGTCCGAGGCCTTCGTGTCCCCAGCAGAGTCCCACCATACAGCTCCTCCGTCTTGGTGGTCAGGTCCCTCACCTGTCTCACTCACTCCTCATGGACTGACCCCTGGCGCATCCTGGGGACCTCTCGAGCCCTCCCTCGAGACACGGTTACCTGTGCGCAGCTCAGCCCCTGCCAGGGCCTGGCGGGCTGGTCAGCATCAAGCAGGACTGCTGTGTATGGACTCCAGAGGAGGCTGACAGGAATCTCCTGAAAACCAGGGCTCGGGTAGGTTTTCCTGGGCAGGGACAGCAGAGCGCGTGGTCAGGGCTCGAGTACAGTGAGCCCCAGGATAACTGGCCCGAGGAGGCCCGAGGAGGCCCGAGGGTGGAGAGGGCAGAAACACAAGAAGGAAGGTGTGGTCAGTCTTTCTTGAGGCAGAATGTTCCAGACATCAGGGGGCCGTCTCCCCTGTGAGGGCCTCTGTGTCTGGACCCGGGGGGAGCCCAGCCAGGTAGGGCGCTGTGTCCGGCGGAAGGCTCTGCTTGGCCAGTGAACCATACCAGTGAGCCGGCTTACTCACGGAGGGGCCTCCCCTGGCTACTGCTCCTGAGGGGTCCTGGGTAGCCTCTTCTGCTGGGAGAGAAGGAGGAGAGCACACAAACCCGGCCTCCAGGGACACAGGAGAAAACCCTGCCTCCAGGGACCTGCTCCCACCCGGGCAGGCTCTGCCTCAGGGTCCCGAGCTGCCCTGACTCAGCCCCATGTGCCTCTGGGTCCACGTCCAGCAGAAAACCACTACCTTCACCTGAAGGGTTTGTGGCCCAAGGTGGGACACGTGTCCTGTGGGATGGTGACCAGGGAGGTCAGCATTCAGATGGGCTTACCCTGCCGCTGTGGTCGGGGGGAGTGGGTGGTGGGGAAGAAAGTACAAGTGTCCCCCCAGGAGATGGCCTGAGAGAGCCCCGAAGCCCACCTTGGAAGCTCGGAGCTGGCCACGGCAGCGGCACGTGCCCCCCAGCGTGGCTGTTAATAACCGATCGCAGCGGAGAAGAAGGAAGGAGAAAGCCGGAGGCAGGGGGGGGGGTCCGGCCTGCTGTCTGGGAGCCCGGGCCAGGGGCGCAGAGCCCAGGCACCCGACAGGATCAGGGGCAGGTCGGGAGCGAAGTGTCTCAGCAACAAGGAAATAGCCCCTTCTGAGAGCAGCGGCCCAACTCACTGTTCCCTGGAGGGAGAGGCCGCGTCAGGGAAGGGAACAAGCAGCGGACGAGCTCCCGGGAGGCCGCGCTGGGACCCCTGAGCCAGGGGTCAGAGAAGAGGGTGAGGCTGGCGCAGGGCGGATCGGGCAGGCTGCTCAGGGCTGATGCAGAGCAGCTGCCCCAAGGCCCGAGGACACTCGCTGCGGCAAGCTCTGCCAGCCAGGAGGGGAGGTCTCCAGGGTGAGCTAGGTGGGAGGAAGGCAGCTGGACCAGCGGGGTGGACACAGGTGCAGGGACCAGCCCCGTGCCATCCTTCCCAGGTACCTTCTCAGGCCACCTTGAAATGTCTGGTAACTGGCAATAGTGTCCCCGCCTGGGGAGAGCTTGGTGGACCCAGGTGGACCCTGAAGAGGTCCAGCTACCTCTGGCCCTGGCCTCCCTGCTGGCCAGGACACAGCCCATTCCCAGAACAGGGCCTGCCCCAGAGGCCATTCACCTCGCTTGGGCACATCAGCCAGTCCCGGAGCCTGGGATCGAGGATGAGAAATGCCAACTGGAGGTCACCCCCCCACCCCCACTCGGGCCGTCACCTGTAATGTCCACTTGATGGAGGAGTCGATTGTCCCTGAGGGGGTGCCGGGGACAAGGGCTCCTGCTCTGAGGTGCAAGGATTTCCTCCCAGGGTGCAGCCCTTAGACGGGGTCCAGGAAGTGTGCTCCGAGCGCCCACCGCCCAGGAGGACAGGGGTGCAGGGGCCCAGGTTGGGGGGGGCTGACCAGCCTGGGTGAGGCCCCTGCCTCGGGGATCCTGCCGACCATCTGGGTGGACGCATGGGAACCGCAGAGGCCTGCGACCTTCAGCACTATTTAGGGGTAACAAGTGACCGAGAGGCCAAACGAGCAGGTGCCTGAGGAAGGAGAGAGTCTGTCTGTCCCCTCTGAGGTGGCATCCAGCCCCTGGGCTTCTTCCCCAGGGGGGCAGCTCCCTGCCTGCTGCCCTGGTGACGTGGGATAGGCTGGGACAGACCTGTGGTGGGCCCTGCTGTGACACCTTCAGCACATGGTGGAGAATGAAAATGTGGGGCCCATTGTCCAACACTGATCTTCCAGACACAGCCTGGGGTCCTTCTGAGTGTGGCCACTGAGTGCTGCCATGGGCCCCTGTCCCTGAAGTTGGCCCTGCAGCAGGGAAGAAAAAGGAGAAATGGGCATGGAAAGGGGAGCAAGAACTCCGTGACGGGCACCTTGACATACACACGATATATGCAAAGGCCCTGTGGCCGCAGGCCCAGGCTCCTAAAAGGCCCTGGAGTCTGCCTCTCCTTCTGTAGCGTGTCTCAGTTCAGCCTCTAAGTGACCCCGAGTGATAGGTGCCATTGGGTCTGTCTTACAGAGGACAAAGTGAGGCCAGAGAGGAGAAGGAACCTGAGGGCACCCATCTGTAACCCCAAGGTAGGCTCATGTTGACATGCAAACATCACCTGGCTGTGCGCGAGGTGGCCCCTCCTCCCAGGGCGCAGAGCTCCTCAGCACAGCGGCTCCCCCTTCTTGGGTTCAAATCCTAGCTCCGGCCTGGCCTTACAGTTCTGGCAAGTTATCTCCACCCCAGAAAGCCAGGCCAGCGGGCAGTGTGTGCAGGGCTCGGCCCCGCCCCCTGCCCAGGTAGGACAGGAACGTGCGCGTGCACACGCCCACCTCAGCCCTGGTGCTGTGCTGTGGCTTCTGTGGCCTTAGCCAAGCGCCAACCTGGGGCTGAGCTGCCAAGGTCGCCCTCTAGCGGCCCAGGCACGGAGTGGCTCCCCCTTGCAGCCGTCCACTCACCCTGGGGAGCCAGCAAGGGAAGCTCCTCCCAGGGCAGCAGCACCATCCCAGGGGGTCCCCCCAGCTCTGCGCGGCACCTGGACGCCTGCCTTTGTCCCCTCACTCCTGAGCAACAGGAGCTGGGCACTTGCCCGCGGCAGCCCAAACCAGAGGCTCAAACCACAGAGATGACGGGGAGCCCCAAGAGCTGGGAGTCCTGGTGGACAGGGGCTGGCCGGGGCTGGGGGGAGGGCCAGGAAGGCCTGCAGCCTGGTGTAGGACACGGGCGGGGAAGGAGGGCAGCCCGGGGTGGGGGGAGAAGTGCTGCAGCCCCAGGCAGCTTGTGCAGTGCGGGGGAGTCTCGGCTGTGTCCCACGTGCAGGGCCAGTGGCCAGGGAAGGACCGCAGGAGTGCCCGGCCCTTCCTAACGCTGGATTCCAGGGGCCCCTCCACGACCTGCTCAGGGGACTCAGGTGGGGGAAGCCAGGAAAGCTACATTCTAACAAGCGGCGTTAGAGTTGTGCCAGTCTGGAAGCTTCCTGGGCTCCCTGTGGCATCCTTGGGACTGGAAAACAGGTCCCCGGCCCCCAGACGCAGCTGGGAAGGCTGCGGTGAGCCCCGGGACCCCCTGGGTAGTAAGCACCCCAGATTCTGCCACCCTCTGCAATACGCGCATTGGGTGTGGCTCAGAGGGAACGTCAGGGCCTGGCACTGAGGACCCCGACTCCCTGCGGAGGGGACGTCCTGCCCCAGGCTGCCTGGAGAGAAGACTGGGTGGCACCTGTTGCTCTACAGCTGCCACAAGTCCTGGCAGCCGGGGGGCTGTGTCACCAGGTGGGCCTGCCAGCGTCCATGTTCTCCATGTTCTGTTTTATTTTTAAACAACCGTAGTAAATACACAGAACTGAAATTTGCCATTTTAGCCATTTTTAAGTATCCTGCCTGGTGGCCTTAAGCTCACTCATGTTGACATGCAAACATCACAGTCGTCCATCTCCAGAACCCCATCTTCCCAACCAGACGCTCTGACCCTTAAACACTGCCACTGGCCCACGGTGCGGGATGTCGGACTGAGCCTCCTCGGGGAAGAGGTTCCCGGGTCGCGTCCTCCTGGAACGCTGGCCCCCAGACCTGGCCCACGTCCTCTCTCCAGAGGAGAGTGTGCGGTCCAGATAGGGGACGGGCCTGCCAAGGTCCCTGTTGGAGTCAGTGGCTCTGTCACAGGTGTGAACAGCAGACACTCATTTCTCCCAGTTCTGGAGGCTGGAGTCCAAGGTCGGGGACCCAGTGAGTTGGGCGCACGAGGTGCTTCTTTGCCATGTGCTCACAGGGAGGACAGAGGGGCACTGAGCTCTCTGGGTCTTTCTTAGAAGGACACTGATCCCATCCCGAGAGCCCCACCCTCACGACCCCATCTAAACTCCGTCACGTCCCCGTGGTCCCATCTCCTAGCACCCCACAGGGGTTCAGGGCTCCAATACAGGCATTTTGAGGACACGATTCAGCCCGCAGCAGTTCCGGGTCCTTTCCCGCCCACAGCTGTTGACTGGTCACTCAGCACGTGCCTCCCAGGGTCCCAGTGCAGCAGGAGGTTGAAGGCACCGGGTTCAAATCCCAGCTCCACACCCGCCAGCTCCACCCCTGGCCGTGGGCAAGACCCGGCTTCTCGGGCGCCATCTCCACTGGGCAGCGCCCACCACGCCCAGCTGGGAGCTGAACCCGGGGGTCCACGTACAGCCCTTAGGGTGGCCACTTTAGCTGCGTCGCTGCCTTTACCTTGGTGTGTCCCCATCAGTGGGGCTCCGTCCAGGCGACCCCCCTGCGGCCACTGCGGCCTCCCTGTCCTGCTTCCTCTGGCTCCGCAGCCACCGCCGCGCCTCCCTCCCTGGCCGTCCCTCCTAAGATTGCCCAACGTGCAGTGGTCTTTCTGGTTCCAGGGTTGCGACACTCTTCACTTCATGGTGGACGTGGGGGCAGCACAAAGCAAGCTCAAGGAAAGAGGCAGAGGATTCTGTCCTCTCCCCAGTCAACGCTGACTCGAGAAGGCGCTGGATGGCGGGGGTCAGGACCCGGAGCCCCTGGTGGAGGAATGTGCCCGACGGGTCCCTGCCTTGCCATGCCTCCCCTCCCGAGGCCCCTCTGAGAAGTGTCCAGCAGCAGCTCTTCCGGCCCAGCGAGCAGGCCTGGGACTGGGCAGTAGATGTCCAGGCTCTATCAGTGTCCCCAGCGCCCCACAGGAGGCTGACGGGCCCTGTGGGCCTCTCCTGTGGGTCCCATCTGGGGGCTTGTGCTTCTTGACTTTTCCATGTCACCTTCCAGCGGCCACAGAGGGTTGACTTGGCCCCCAGACCCCTGACCAGGGCCTTTGTCGATGTGACCAAGTTAAGGGTCTTGAAGTGAGAGCAGGATGGATCAGGGTGGCCCTATGTCCCAGGGTGTTCCCTTTAGGAGACAGCAGAGCTGAGGGACACCCAGAGAGGCCGACCTGGACTCAGAGGCAGAGACCACAGTGAGGTGGCCACAAGTAAGGGACACCAGGGCCACCAGGCGCTGGAAGAGGCAGGAAGGAGCCTCCAACTCCTGGAGCCACAGAGGGACGCAGTGCTGAGGACACCTGGGTTCCAGGCTTTGCCCCAGAACCGTGGGACAGTCCTCTCTGCTGTTTCGAGCCACTGGGCTGTGGCCCCCGGTGATGGACACGGGGACCATCTAGGGAGGGCACCATGGCCGCCACCATCTTTCCCTACTCAGGTCCAGGCTTCCAAGCCGGTCTTTCTGTCCCCACGTCACAGACTGCGGAGGCTCTGGAGGGTTAAGTAACTTGCTCTCCGGTGGCCTGTCGGGAAGTTACTTCACCCTTTTGAAGTCGGCCCAGGAACCCCAACTCCTAGGCTGGGCCCTGCCACTGGTCCCGTCAGGGTGAAAGCAGGGAGCCCACTTTTTCCGAGAAAGATGTCCAGTGTGTTTACAGGCATTCTGTTATTACGCTCATTATTTACGGTCAGTTTTAGGGACATAAAATTGCAACTGTATTGTTAGAAGCAAATTTTATTTCCCCAGCTTTAAAACACACACAAACAAGAATCATAATCCCATGAGTAGCTGAATACTGTCGTAATTCTGTATCAATTTAACTGCAATAGTAACTGTGAAGTATCAAGAACCCACGAGCCCACCCCAGCGGGATTATTGACGATCGATGTCCCGGGACGTGACCATTCCGTTCACGGCTGCAGAGGGGTCCTGTGCCAGTGAACATAAATAGGTGGTGTCAGGGACTCCAAAACACTCAGGTAGTTCTCAAAAACTGAAGTGGGATTATTGGGAGTCCATCTGTGTGGCTGATGAGGACACAAATAAAGCAAATAATTCCCTTTGTAGTTTTTTTTTTTTTTTCTTTTGCAGGGCGAGGGATGGAACCCAGGGCCCCTGGCTTCCTGGTAAACGCCCTGCCACTGACCTGCACCCTCAGCCCGGAAGTTACATTTCCAACCACCCTGCTCGCAGGAAAGTGAACTGCTGCATAGACAGAGAATAACCTGCTGCAGACGATAGCGAGGAGATGTGGGAGGAAGAGGAACTGTCAGCCCAGGAGAGATGAAAGGATCAACACTCCTTCTCATCTAGGAGAAGCAGATGTCCCATCCACACCTGGGACAGAAGAGCAGTTCTCATAAATGGGAACTAGGCCAGGCACATGACACACACTTCTATCCCCAGTGGCTCTGGAGGCTGAGGCAGGAAGATCGTGAGTTCAAAGCCAGCCTCGGCAACAGTGGGGCACAACTCAGTGAGACCCCGTCTCTAAATAAAATAGGAAATAGGGCTGGGGATGTGGCTCAGTGGTCAAGTGCCTCTGAGCTCAGTCCCTGGTACCCCCCAGAAATGGGAAACCAGGGAGGGCAGGACTAGGGTTGCCCCATAGAATATAGTATGCTCCGCTAAATTTAAATTTCAGATAGACAATGAGTAAATTCTTTCGGTGGGACATACTTATACCAGACACTTTATTCATTGCTTATCTGAAATTCAAATTTGACTAGGTGTCTTGGTTTTAGATTGGTCAGTTGGTTTTGTTAGATTTGGCAACATTGGGCAGGCCTGAGGGACCAGGGTGAACCTCCCACTCCTGTAGGAGGACTCAGAGTGAGGAGCCGCTCTGACTCTGGGGGACGTTCCCAGGCTCAGAGACAGCTAGGCAGGTCACTCGTGGTCTCAGTTAGCTTAACCATATCCCCAAGGGTGTTGGTCAGCTTTCAATTACTGTAACAAACTCTGGAGATCATCAAGTTATAGAGCGAAAAGGTTTATTTTATCTTGTCTCACAGTTTTAGAATGTGCGGTGGAGCAATGCTGCTTCAGTCATGGCCAGAATGGAAGAAAGAAAAAGAAAAAGAAAGGAAAAGGGAAAGGAAGGTGCTGGTGTTGTCCCCCCTGCCCCAGGGACCAGAAAACTTCCCACCAGGCCCACCTGTTAGAGCTTCCACAGCCTCCCAGGAGCACCATGCTGGGGACCAAGCCTTTAATACTGGACCTCGGGGACACTCCAGATCAAACCCTATATCAGGACTTTGAAGGAGGAGGGGAAAGGGGTCCCGGGTGCTGCCACAGCCTTGGTGCCGACTGTTCAGTGGGGCTGCCTGGGTGTTGGCTCCCGAGATGGGTGCCCGCAGTGCAGCTGAGGCTCTGGACGCGACGGGAGGCTGGGCTGGGATCACGATGGCGTGAAGGAGAGGCCCTGGGAACTGCAGAGTCCAAATTCCCCCCTGTCTGCAGGGGGGGCCAGGCAGAGGTTTGCAGAGGGCCTTCCAG